TATGACATCTATACTTTGGCCATACCCTCTGAAATAATGAAGCCCATCAGTGGGAAGTCCTTCCTGCTATCTAACCACCACCCCCTCACTGTAGCCAACCTTCCACTGCAACCTAAGCCCATTTCAGTCATCTCGATGAGAGTGGTGGACAGGGGCCCCTGGCCATCCACAGCGGTTGGGACGGTTTGTGTGTCACCTTCCACCTCCCCACCCAACTTCCCCCTGGGGTCTTGGGAGACAGAAGTGAAAGTGGCAGCTGGGGCCCTGGGGGCGGGTCAGCTTGAGAGCCGTTGGGGTGAGTATAATGCCACCAGAGCTGGGTCTGGGCTGCCTACTACAGCGGGTGGGCTGATAGATAGATCAGAGGAGGGACTTCCCATGGAAATGAGGGCATGGCGTAACTGGAGTGTGGACCCCTAGCCAAAGCAAGAGCAAGATGAAGCGGAAAGAGTGGAGACAAGCAGAAAGAGTGGAGGCAGTTTCAGAAGGGCCCTCTCTTCCAGAGCAGTGGTTTGTTCCCTTGTATAAGCAGCAGGATCCTTTCTTTCCATCCACAGAACAGGGTCACGGCTGCTCTGGCTGAAGCACATGAAGGGGGTCCAGGCCCTGATGCTCAGATGTGAAGGTAAAGACAAGAGATTGGCCGTCTGAGGCCTGGGCCTCCAATCTGATGGAAGGAAGGTGGGGGATCAGAATGTGAAATGTCTACCCACAATTACAGATGGGGGGCCTGAAAGAGGCCAATCCAATCAGAGAAAGCAAATCCTCCTAGAGACATCAGGACCTCGGGAAGCCAGTGAGGACTTAAAGGGGCCGCTCAGGGCTGTGGCTGGGTCTCCTTCTGACTGGAAGGACAGTCCTCTAAGCCCCTGGCAGGGGCGGGCAGGCAGTGCGGCTGCGTGGGCCTGCTGAGGCAGCCAGCCAGGCGGCTCTTACAGGATTAGCTTGCTGCTGTCAGGAAAGGTGCCAGGTGAGGCTAAGATATGCCCAGCCAGATGGAGGGGGGCCTGGACAGGCAGTGGGGAAGGGGAGTACTTACACACGGGTATGCAAATATTGCCCCCAGATTTGATTCATGCCCCTCATCAACACCCAGCTTCTCACCCCTTCATGGACACACTTTGCAAAACCTCTTGGATGCCTGCAGCTCCCCTGCTAGGACCCAAGCCTTCTCTGCCATTCCTAAGATCATAGCTAGCCTTCCTCTGAGCAGGAAGTCCTGCAGATTCTTAATCTTTCTGCTATACTTTACAACTAGGGCCCCACCCCAAGGAACAGGTGAGGGGGCTGAGGGGTTCCTCCTCTCCCCTCCCCATCAGCTTTCCCCCACACCCCCGGGCTGACAGGTGGGGGAGACAAGAGGGAGCAGCTGGGCCAGGACACCTGTCCCCACCGTCAGCCTGGGCCCCACAAGCCTGCCATGGGGTATGCATACGAGAGTCAGCAGAGAGGCAGGCAGCTGTGGGGGCTGGAGGAAAGGGGCTCAGAGGTCAAGGAGAAACATGACTGGGAAGGCCTGAATCACCCCTTTCAAGATCAGCCCTTCCTCCTGGTCTATCCCCAACCATTATCCCTCACCAAACACAAAACACACACATGCTTTAAGGGGAAAACTTGAGGTTCGAGGTCACCTGCTCCATCCCCTTGTCTTCATGTTACTCGATCCAACTGGAGTGGGAAGATTCCACGAAAAAAGACAGAACCCTTCTCTCCCCACCCACACCCACTCCCACTGTATGTTTTCTCCTGAGGTTTGGGGATGAGGTCTCTCATTCCTTGTTCTCCCAATGCTCAAGCCCAAGTATTTGCAGGCAGGGGCAGGGCAGGGAAATCATGAGGAGTAAGAGTGCAGCCAGAGGGATTTGGTGAGACTCGAGGGGAGAAGTGTGGACGGGGTAGGGTTGGGGGCACAGGGCTGGATCAGACTGAGCCCTAGAACTAAAGATCCCCTCAGGGCCTCCTCAGGAGATCAGGTCTCTACCCAGGACCCTGCCTGCTCCCACCCCACCTTCTGGGTGGCTGCCTTGGCAGACAAGTCCTGAGCCAGGCTGGAGCTGTCTAGATGCCTAGAAATGTCTAGAAAAAGGGTGCACGTCCTTACTAAGCTCCAACTCTGTGCTGACTACCACACATTTTCCACTGAATCTCCTTCCTTTCACAGATGAGGCATCTCTCTTTCACAGACATGGAAACCAACTCAGAGATGGGCAGGAACTTGCCCAAGTTCACAAGGAGTAAGTGGCAGAGGTGGGCTAACTGCTGAGCAATGCTTCCCCACACAACCAGGACTGAGAGTAAGCAGGGTCTCCCTCCGCCTAGGAGGTACAGCACATCCTTCCTGGGCGAATTCCCTCACTTCTGAGCCAGGGAAATCATGTCAGCCATGCGTCTTGCCTTTAGACAAGCCCAGGACCCCTGTAGCTTCTGTCTTCTGGCTCCAGTCTCACTCCTCATTCAGCTCACACCGCAGCAGGGGGTACTAACAAGTGCGGGTGGGCGGTGGTGGTGGTGGTGGTGGTGGTGTGTCTGTCTCAGTGTCACTCATTCCACCTCCATACCCCTTTGGGGGCTTTCTCCCACAGTACTCAATCAGAAGACAGTACCTTCTCAGGGAACCAAAGCAACATCACACCTAAACTTGCCCCCAAACCCTAATCCTCTGCCCTCTGCCAGGAAAGCCTATTGGGGTCACTCTTCCCTTCACTGCAGCCTCCTCCTTTTCCCAGGTCTCCCTGGGCCTCCTTTCCCATTCCTTTCCCCTTTATTCCCTGCAGGGCAAGATCCTCCTTCCCTTAACCTCAGACAAAAGCCTGAAGACCTCCTAACTGAGAAAGTTTGAGCAAGTCACACAAATCTCTGACTCAGTTTCCCTAATAATAAAAAACAGTTGTAGAGAGAAATAAATGAACCTCATGTTACCATGCCCAGCACAGAGCTTGGCATACAGGCACATGACCAAATGGAAGCTTCCTTCCTCCGGTCCCCAGAAATCTCAAAATTTCAGTTTTGGGTCTCCAAAGTATATTGGAAAATAGGGTGAGTGGGGTACTGCCTGAGGGTAAAGCTCTCTTGACCAGAGGGCAAAAAAGCTCCTCCTCTATATGCTACCCTGGTCAGCCCAATGCCTAGAGGAGTGGCCAGAGCACCCAGCCACAGGCATCAAGCCAAGGTCAGTGACCAGGCCTAGAGCCCAGAGCCTCCTGGGAGGGTGAGCTTAAATGAGTAAATATGGTCCCGCCTGGGTGTGGCCAGCAACAGGCCAGAGCTTCAGACAAGTCCCTCTTCTCCCAGCCCAGTCAACAGCAAGGGGAGAGATCTGACTGCAGGCACAACCTCCAAACCCCCAAAGGCTACCAGGGTCCTGGGCAGAAACCGTGAACACTTGCCCTGTCTCTATGACAGCCAGGACTGACCAGAAGCACAGCCAGCCTCCCAAAAAGGGGAGGTTGTGGCTGCAGCCTCAGGCAGAGGAAAAATCAAATGCAAAGGGCCTTGGGGCTTGCCCAGGCCAGGAATCTGCCCCCAAATGCCTGAGGGCTCAGATGCAGCCCTGATACCTCAGAGTGGTCTCACTCATCAGGCTGAGTGGGGAGAGCAACAGAGATGAGTGCCAAACCACCAAAACACCCAGGTGTTCTGATCACAAGGCTAGGTGAAACTCCTGTCCATCTGGAAAGCTAACTTACCCAATGACACACAGTCTGTGAGGGGCAGAGGCAGGCTGAGCCAGGGCCACAGAGGGGATAAATGGGGGTGGGGAGGGCTGTCAGGGGCAATGACAGAAGTCAACCAGGGCTCCTCAACTCACAAGCCATGCTCTGTCTGCTCATCTGTGGTCTAACTTCAATCCCTCCTGCTCCAACCAACCCTTCTCTCTTTAGATGCCTTCACCTTCTTGCCTCCAGTTTCCCCACCCTATCCCCAGGCTCCAATCCTTTAATCATCTTTGCCATTCGTTAGCCCCCCCAACCCCCACAGGGCGGCAGCTGCTCTGTGGGTGTCTACACACCCATATGTATGCACTGCACTGCACACCTTCATGCATGTATGCCATTAAATGCTGTGAACCTGCCAGGTGCATCTGGGCGTGCCAGTCTGCACGAGACACCCAGCCAGCCCCCCAAAGGCTAGCCATCTCACAGCTCCCAGACAAACTCTCCTCAGAATGCTTGCAGCCCCAAGCAGGGGGAGAGAAGAGAAAATAAATATTCCAGGAACCAACAGCACCCTCCCCACTAGGCCAAAGTTCAAGGCCTTTCAGCGGAGCTACCAAGAGCCACTAGAAAGAGAGTGATTTGAGATCCCCAGCTCTCCCCAAGTTAGAGCCATCTCTCTCTCCCTGGTCTAGCACCACTGGTAAGTTCTTCCTGAAGTCTAAACTCCATTCTGCCTGATGCAATGTGGACAGAGAGGACAGTGTCAGCCACAACACAGCAAGTGTCTAGCTTCCAGAACAGAACTACTAGGACCTAACCCCTCCCCCTCCCCCCATGAGTAAGTCACCAAACTGGGACAGAAGGACAGACGGTTGGCCGGACTCCGGCCCCATGACTGGCTCATAAAAGCCACCAGCAATTACAGTGATGCTGAGGCTATGTCAGCCCCGCCACCATCTCCTCCTTCCTTGTAAAAGGGAGATAATTGCCTCAAAACAGTTGGCCTCAGAGAGCCTGGAGAGTCCCAGCCACGGTCATAAGGCGTGGGGAGAACCCGCCACCACACTGCCACAAGACCCAGAATCTGACTCTTTATTATGATGGGTTCCAGGCCCATGTCTAATCCTTAAATCCACTTACAGAACCTGGGTGAACACCAATTATGACTTGTGCCCAAGAGGTCAAGGCCTCTCTTTATCCATCCCCACCACTCATCTTCTCTAGTAAAGCCACCACCTTCTGGACTGGAGGGGTAGAGAAGAAGGAAGCCTGGCTCCAAATACAACTAGGAAAACGCTGGACCCACCCATTTGTGCTCAACTCCCATTGACCCCACAGACGTACAGAGTTAGATGGCATGGTGTCCAACACAAGGCCAGGGTTCAGCACTGAAATTCTGGATCCAGGTGGGGCAGGAGGGGCAGGGGGGGCCTGCTGGCCTGAAGGAGAGAAGGGAGGTAGGATGAGCAGAGGGCCAGGGATGCCCACTACAGAGAGACCTTCCCAGGGCAGGGTCAGAGGAGAAGGGTGGGAAGGCCTAGTTCACAATCAACGACGATATGACCCCAAGGCCTCCTCTCCATAGAGGAGCATCCCCCAGCTTCCTTGCCACTGGTTCTCCAGCCCCTGACCTGGGGAGTCTACTCTCTGTCTTCTGCCACTATCATACCTCCTTAGAATGATTGGGGAAAATTTCCAAAAAAAAAAAGACCTGCTGGAGAAAGATTATATAACAGCAGCCAGAAAGAGTATATTTCCCAGTCCATGAGAAGAGCCAGGAGCCAAGAGGGGCAGAGATGGGAAGCCCAGAAGCAGCAGGTGCAGTCGGGTGGATACCAGGCAGCATCCACCACCCTTCCAGGTCCTTCACCACCCTGTCCCAGGCATTGGGTACAGGAGACAGACCCATGCCCATCCCCCAACACAAGGGTTACAACGCTTTCCGACTGGGTCCTGCTTCTCCCCTGGGACCAGTGCTTCCACACAACAGCAAGGTTGTGTCTTCCTTCCTATGGCCTCTCCCTACTATGAAGCCATACCCAAAAGAGTGGTGGTTGGAGTAAAGCTTTGACACAGATTTGCTGTGTGGTCTCTGGTGAAAAACTCAACCTCTCTGGTCTCTAAAGGAGTGTGAATGAGAGGTCTTCTTTCCCCCTTCCCTTACAAAGGTATATGCACACACACATACAAACACAGGGTGTGTTGAGAGGCCAGAGGAGTTACAACAAAGAGAAAATGACCAGAGAACCAAGGATCCAAATACCTGTGCCCGGGCAAATGGGGTAACAGCTATACATAACTTCCAGTGGCCCCCAATCACCCCATATTAACAGGTCCTCAGCTACCCTCATACTGATCCCACCCCACCCCCATCTTCTGCCCAATACACTGGGAAACCACAGGAAGGAAATTCATTCCCAGGCAGGCCGTGGGAGCGGGAACAGCCCGGCTAAGTCCAGGGGAGGGTGTGATCCGGCGGCCGCAGGCGGGTGGACATATGTGAACACTGACATGTGCCTTTCCAATGGTCTCCTTGGCTACTAAGACTTCCCTGTTGGGGGTTTGGAGGGAAGTGGGAGGTGGACAGCTCCCTAACTTCAAAACACCCAATCTCCTGCTGGCCTGGGCTCCCCTCCTATCTGGAGGCCAGAGCTGCCCAAGGTCACCGCCCCAGACGGCAAACTTCCCATAGTCCAGGCTGGCTCGTGAATTGCCGAGGAGACCCAATTAAAAGACAGGGGGGAGGGGCAGAGCAGGTCCGCTGTCCCCCGCAAACCAAAGAAACCAGGCCTACAAGGAGACCTCAAAAGCAGGGGCTAGACAGAGAGAATGGGGATGCACGATCCACCACTGTACCTTCCCCCAAAGCATCAACAATGAACTACTTAAGGGGAGGCAGAAAGAACCTCTCACTCAGAAGGACAAACCTGGGATAACCTAGTCAGTGGCTCCAAGCCCGTGTACATCCAGAAACCCTCCTTTCATGGGGAGAGACCTCAGGAACCTGGTGAGAGGTTAGCCTGAACACTAGGGTGTCGGGAGCCCCTTTCCCTCATCCCTGTAAGACCCAAACCTGGTAGGAAGGGGACTGGCACTGGGGTGAGGGACTAGATGCATCTTAGTCCCCTTGGCCCTCCCTTCCTTAAAGCCTCGCCAACACTCCCTAGACCCCCACTAATCAGAGCAGTTCAGTCTGCCATAGGTGGAAAGGAAAGAAGAACTCTTGCCCAGATGTTGAACAGCTGCAAACTTATGGCCAGGAATTCTCTAAATGGGGCTGCTGACAAACCAGATCAGGGGTCTCCGAATCGGCCAGAGATCCCAAAGAAGGGTCCTGCGCGCCCACCTCTACAGTGACTACGCGTCCCAACTCCACAAGCACCGGCGAGCCCGGGCCCCAGAGATACACACGCTCCCACACCCCAACCCACCACCCCGATGTCATCAGAACAACATCCCCCCTCCCTCCCCCGCTTCCCAAACAGCTGCGGCTCCCCCCGCCCCCACCCTCCCGCCGCCCTCCCAGGCCCCCTTCTGCACCATTTCGGGCCAAGGCGGAGTGAACAGGCGGCGCGAGGAAGGAGAGGGAGGGAGGGACGGCTGTTAAAATGTCAGTGGCTCATGGCTGTCACCGGAGACCCCCTCTGAGGATGACGCCCCTTCCCAGACCACTCGGAGGCTGTCGTAACCCTAGGGTACCAACAGACCGACGCGTCTCCAAGCCGCCGACCCCAACACTCAAGGGAATTACAGCCACTCCACTTGTCCCCCGCAGGCGACTCCTTAACACAAACAGACCCCCATGTAACCTCCCACCAACGCCACACGAAAACAGCCCGCTCCGCGAGTTCCTCCCACCCCAGGAGGCCACCCCAACCCACCCCTCGGGGGGAAGGTCTAGACCACCCTCTACCCCAACCAGGACGGGGTGGGGGAGGGGGCCTCTTAAAGCGGCAGGCGCATTATTTTTCTCTACTCACCGGCCCTTCTGGGGGAAGGTGGGTGTCACGGCCGGGAAGGGGTAGCCCGCGACACTAGTCCGAAGGATCTTCAACACCGGGAGGCCTCAGCTCCGAGCGGGGAGAATAATAAATGAGGCCGGCGTCCGCGCGGGCCCTGGGCGGCGCCGGGGGGCCTGAGCCCCCGTCGAGGACGCGGGGGCGGACAGGGGGAAGGCGGGCGGAGAGGACCGGGGCCGAGCGCCCGAGCCGCCTCGGCTGTTGTTGATATTTTGCTTCCTTCCTCCTTTAGGGCTCCAAAGGTAACTCCTCCAGCCCCCGGGAGTCGAGGCCGACGTAGGCACAGCTCAGCCTAGCTTGAGGGGGTGGGGAAACAGGGGTGATGGACAGCCGGGGGGGCCAACGGGAGGAAACCGTGGGGGCGGGGGGCGGGGCCTGGGCTGGGGCGGTCCCGGGGACGCAGCCCCGCCCTCGGCTCGCTCTGGCAGTCCAGCCCGGGCGGGTCGGCCTCCACCCTGCTTCCCTCCCAAGCTAGGCTGCGGCGCCGGGAGCAGCGGATCCCTCCGCCAGCCGGGAGGGAGGGAGGAAGGGACGAGTGAGGCAAAGTAGAGAAGCGAGACCCGAAGGCCTTTAAAGGGATCGGCCCGCGCTTGTGGTGCGCTTTCTGAGCTTGCAGGACGGCCGCCCAGCAATGCTGCCACCATGCGCTCAAGGAGGTTCTTTCCGGGGATGCTCTGCGGACTGCGCGCACACCCTCACACACAACGCGCGATATACCTCGACGTCTCCCCCAAGCCCCAGGGGAGTTGGGAGGTGGGAGTCTAAGTAGATAAATTAAGGGTAGAAGCTAAATGGTGAAAAAATTCTGTCTTCCCCAGTTGGGGTGTGCCAAAGCCCCACTTACGGGAACACGTTCTTTCGGGAGGGCGCTACCTGGGGAGCACGCTTACTCGCTCTACCTGTGAAGGGCCCCGACTCCTCCCTGGGCCTGGCTCGGCAGACGCCCAGCAATTTAAAGCGACAGCGCATAGTTCTCGGGTGACCTAATCCCCAGTGCCTGCGGGGCCCCAGAGCATTTACAGCCAAGGGGGGCAATTTAAAGGGGCGGGACTCTAATTTCCCCCCAGCTCAGGAAACGCCCCAAAGCATCTTATTAAAGAAGCAGTAGTAGCTCTTTAAAAAATTAAGATTAAAAATTCCTGGTTGCCCCAAGGTGTTGCGAATCTTTACAATGTCCTACAACAGGAGTGTGGGTGCCATGCCTACTGGACCATTGGCCCATCAGATTTCGTCTCTAGCAACCCTGTTACCTCTATTTCTACCTGAGATTGAGGAAATTATAGAAACTGGCTTAGATCTCAAAGAACCTTACAGAACAGAAGGGCACTCAGTTCTTCACACACCCTGATTTCCATCTGGCTAGGTCTAATTTACTGGACAAAGACGGATGGATTCTGGGTTAAGTGCTGAAGAGACTAATATATACAGAGAGAGGCAGTATGTCACCGTGATTAGAAACATCAACATTGGAGTAGTCAAGCTGTCTTGGTTCAAACCCTTATTCCACCTGTGAACATAGGCACATTGTTTAACTTCCCTATACCTCATGATTCTCGTGGGTAAAATGGAGATGATGATCACAGTGCCTAACTCATAAATTTGGTGTGAAGATTAAATTAGTTCATATAAGTAGATTGCTTGGAAGTGCCTCATACTGCATTATAATAACTCAAGGGTTGGACTGCTAAGAACCCTTTAGGCCTATTATCCCAGGCAAGCCTCAAAGGAGGCAGGTTCAGTGGAATTGCTTTGCAAATAGGTTGGAGGTTTATCTTGCCTGTCCTAAGACAGGAAGTCAGAAGGCTGTTTCCTTGGCTCTCCACCTGACCCCTCCTTCAGGAAACCTGATTTAAACAGTGTCCCACTTTGTCCCCAAATGTAGCTTCTCAGTTCCCCATCAAATCTGGCAGATGGGGCCACATCACCCAAAGATATCAGTCTTCTCTGCCAAGCAGGGCTAGCTTGCCCAAAAGACCAGGGTAAGCAGAGGTAGCCCGGCTGTCCTGTCCCCAAGGACTCTGAGAAGAACGGAGCCTTGTGCCAGGCCTGGGGCCGCGGCAGTAGCAGGATGGGAAAGTGCCCCCCCTCCCTCAACTGGGGAACCTCCCCTCACTTGTGGCCTCTATTTTTAGTGCTTCCCCAGGCTCTAGCTGGAGAAACCGTTTAGTCATCAGGGTGTTTATTTTCCGGCTGTTTCCGACGTCGGGAAAGCAGAATGTTGAGACTGGAGAGAACCAGGGCTGCTGGAAAAGACTTCTTAGGAACAGGCCTGGGAACTCAGCTTTCAGACCATTGGGTCCCATTGTAGGAAAAAACCAAAGTGGGCGGGGGGCAGCCAGGCCCTCAGGCCCCCAGGAGACCAAGAGAGCTGGGTTCTCAGTCTTCCTCCAGTTTGAGGGTCTCCAAACCAGAGATCCCTCTGGCCCCAGCTCTACTTTAAGGGTTCTCTCCAAAAACACAAGCAGCCCCAGAACAAATTCCTTCCCAGGACTGAATTCCAGAAACCCCCTCCCCAACTTCCTACAGATTTGTGCTGGGAGCCTTCCGCCAACCACAGCTTCAGCCAATCTTAAGCCTGAGGCAGTCTTGTCAGGGCTATAATTGGCCGGCTAGAGCCCCCTGCCTTGGAATGTTGGGTCCTTAACAAAGGAATGAGGAAGGAAGGTGACTCACCTGGGAGGTTGTTAAAGGGCCAGGAGCAAGAGGGAGAAAGGAGGAGAGGGAAGGCTCAGGGTGGGAGATGGAGTGTCCTGGACCCTTAGAATAATAATTCACTGGAGAAGAGAGTAGGAGAGGCTGACATTACAAGCGGGATAGAATTAATATGTGTATATTTATAGAGAAAACTTCATTGGAAAGCAAAAGTAACAAACATGAGTTCTTGATTTCCATGGAGAACTAAGACAGGATCTAGAGAATAATGTTACTGTACTTAGATTATAATGAAGACTTCCAGAAAGTGACTCACTACATCTTTTTCTTATAGATCCTGGACTACCCACCCCAGAATCCTCTAGGCGGGTAATGCCTGGACAGGCTCAGGTGCCTGCATCTCATTTTTTCTTCTTCCCCTCTGGTTACTAACCCATCTTTCTTAAGAGAAAAGTCATCTAACAGCCCTAAATTGCAATAAAATCTCATGGGAGTTAGACAGATGCCCACCAAATCCTAAAAACTATGTAAATTCCTCTGTACAATTATCATTTTCTTAAGTTTATGTGACGAAGTAACATCAACGGCTCCTTTTATTCATGCCTCTCTAAGCATCCCTAATCCAATTTAATTTGAAAGAGTGTTCCTCGTCGTCCCCAACGGCTGCTTCTCTTTCTGCCTGTTGTTCCACAACGCTGGAAAGGCACTACCACTGTTTTAGCCTCTGTGAGCTGCTTGGTTGACCCCTCTCACCTTTCTCCTGTCTTTTGGGCAACCCAATACCCCATCTCCATCCACCTCACCTCTTCTATTGAGCTCATCATTCCTCCTAGATTTCCAGTAACCCCAGAAAAGGCGCCCAGTCTCTCCCATCTTCCACCTTGCTTGTGAGAAGAACCATCAGCCTGTCTACTGGTGGTCTTTCTGTGTATACATTCTCCACGTGGACTTGTGTATCATCCTGTGCCTCTACTTGTAACATAGCGCTCTACGCTGTGCATTTACTTCATCAATACACCATATTGTACTGACATTTTTAGTGCCCAATTTATTCTTCACCAGTCCTCAGATCCTTGATGATCAGCAGCAGTTTAACTCAACTTTGGGTCTTCAGAGCCTTGCAGGGCCTGGCATGAAATGAGCTCAGCAAATATCTATTACATGAATCTGTGTGTATGTGTGTGTGTGTGTGTAGCTGTGTATTGGAGTCAAGATTATAAAAATTTATTGAACACCTCTATTTGTCCATTGATAATTGTGCTAGCCTAGGGATGGGGCTCTGATCTGTGATCCACACAAGTCCCACTCTGGGCTAGAGGTTGGTGGTGGGGGCAGAGTGGGACAGAGAGGTGTCCAAGGCTGTGCTGGCAGAGCTGTATCCCAGGCTTAGTGCAGGGTGTCTGGGGCCAGGCCCGGGGCAAAGGGCAGAAGCCCCACCCTGGAACTAAACGGGGCAGGGTACTAAGGGCTTTGATGCCAAAGCTGGCCGGGTCCTAGGTCAGTGCCCCCTCCACACGAGTTCCCTGCCCCAGGCTAGGCAGGATGTGGTGGCAGCTGCAGGAGGGGCAGGATGTGGGGGTGGGGGCAGCTGAAACGATGCCTTACAGTCGTCTCCCCAGCTCCTCCCGCCTTCCCTCTCCCCACCTCATCCGCCCCCCCCAGGTCACGTGCTTCCAGCCTGGGCACCGAAGGACTATTTCCCCCTTTCCGCGGAAGGACATAATTGACATCGCAAAACCGAATCACTACCGACTTCAGCCATATCACGCCTTTTTCTTGCCCCGTACCCCGGAACAGAAAGTTTGCCAGATACCCATTTCTTTAAAGCCCTGATCATTAAACCGCGAGTGGCCCCTTTAAATGCAAATGAATCGACTTCTAGCTTTCGCCCCCCACCCCCATCCCAACTTCGTTCCTCGTGCCCAGACTCCGCCAGCTGCCATTGACGTCACGCGTGCGTCAGCGTCGCCAGCCCAACCAGACAGCACGTGGGGGGAAGAGGGTGGCCTTAAAGGGCCCTGCTTTCTGCCTCCCCGGTTACTGCTGTGAGTTTGGCCTTGAAAAAGAGGAATGAAGCGGGAGGTGAGGAAGTCTATTGGAACCAGAAGAAAGGCAGGATGACATTAGGGAGGACTTCCCAGAGTGAGGACCAGGTCTCTTCTCTAGATTACCCAGAATTTTGGATATTTGCACCTGGGAGAAAACCCAGGAGAAGCAGAACTCTGAGGAAAAAGGAGACTTGGCATTCAAGATTTGCTCAATTAGAATTCCAGTCTTTCGTCTGCCCCTCCCCAGCAAGTCCGTAATACAAGGACTTCGTTCACTTCAGTATCCCCAGCGCCAAGAACAAAACACACAGTAGATACTCAATTTAAGTATTTGTAGAATGGATGGTGTCCAGTGCAAAGCCACGTCCCTTAGGAGGATTTTCCTGATTGCCCCACCAGCGCACATAACACATACCAGCAGCTAAAGTCAATCTCACTATTTTGAACACCCACAGCATTTAATAAACCTGCATCTTCCACGCATTAACGACCACAGGGCAGTGGTTAAGAGTACAGAACTTAGAGTCATGTAAACATGGGTTCCAGTTCCATTTATACTACTTACTAGCTGAGTGACTTTGGACAAGTCT